ATAATCAATGCATACTCTCCACCCCATTACGATGTGAGTAGGAATTAGCTCATTTTTCTTATTTTCTTCAATAGCTATCCTTCCCTTTTTAGGCACACATTGTACTCGGCTTACCCAATTACTGTCAGAAATAGGGAAGATGATACATGTATCAAACCAATAAATTACTTTTTTTTCTTCACGATCTTCTTCATAATAGGATTCAACCTCCTTTATTGCTCAACACTTGGGCGGTGTCCATCTTTCATAAAAAGTTATGCATGCAGAATAATGGATTGCTTCCCTTAATATCAGCAATTGTCCACCCAATGGCTTTTTTGTGCTCAAGAAGCACTCTTAGAAACATTTATTCTTGTAAATTGGTCAAGCTGGATGAAATAATCACTGGCAACCTTTCAACACTCCCCAAGTAGGCATAGAGGTGCATTGGTAGAGGCTTGAGCTCCAGTTTTGGAGCTTATTCAACAGACAGTTTGGGAGGAGCTAATGTCACTGGTCGATCTAACTTTTCAAATCTTCCAAGCCCAAGAACATACTTGTAAGACATGTTAAGTACTTTCTCAATTTCTTCCACCAACTCATCTTCACTTTCTTTTTCATTCCCCAATAAAGCTTATTCAAGGGGGTCTGTAGGGCTTATATAAGGCATCACTAAGGTCACATCATTTTTCACCACATAAATCATGGATAACTCTTCATAGTGGACTTGTAAATATTGAATACATCCACTCGATCCCCCACTCTCATTGTAATTTTTCCTTTACACACATCAATGATAGCTCAGCCTATAACTAGGAATGGACGCCCCAAAATAAATGAGACTTCCTAATCAGGCTTGTAGTCCTAGATAATGAAATCAGTAGGGAATATAAAAGAACACACTTGGACTAATACATCATCAATCACCCCTTCTGGACTAGCAAGGGAGTGATCCACCAATTGAAAGATAATAGCAGTCGGTCGCTTCTCACCTGGCCCCAATTTCTTAAACATAGATAGTGGCATTAAATTGATGCTTGCTCCAAGATTACACTAGGCTCGTCCGACTGTGTACTTACCAATCAAAATTCGGATAGTAAAACTACCTGGATCCTTCAAATTCTAAGGTAGCTTGCTTTGAATTCTTGAACTACATTCTTTTGTGAGTGCCACAGTCTTGAACTCGGCTAACCTTCTCTTATTTGCCACTATGTCCTTAATATATTTTGTATATTTGAGCACTTCCTGAAAGATGCCTACCAACGGAATTTTAATTTGCCCCTGCTTCAAAATATCAAGGAACTTCTTGTATGATGCATTATCCTTCAATTCTACAATCTTTGCAGGAACGGAGGTGGTGGCTTGGCAACTATGGATTGTGGTTGCTTTGCCATAACTTCCTCAACTGGCTTCTCTGACTCTTCTTCAATTCCTTATTCAACTTCTACAGTAGCATGTTTTTCATTAAAGGTTACTTGTTTTCTCTTCTTCGATGGGACTTCTACTAGTTCTCTCCCATTCCTCAGAGACACAATATTAATAGGAGCCTTAGGATTAGTCTCAGTGCCGCTAGGCAGTGCTCCCGCGGGTCTGGTGTTCTGGGCACTGGCAAGTTGCCCTATCTGTCACTCTAAATTTCGGAGAGCAGTAGCTTGATTCTGATTATCAGCCATAATCTTCTTGAGCATCTCCTCAATGTTACCCATCAGATTTGCAGGTAGATCTGCTTGTGGTGGGTAAAATTGTTGTTGGGGAGCTTGTGGCCTGTACTGATTCTGAGTACCTTGATTCCCACCCCAAGAAAGGTTAGGGTGGTTCCTCCAGTTTGGATTGTAGGTGTTCCCATATTGATTTTCCTGGCTCCAATTTTCATTACCCACAAAACATACATATTGCGGGGCATAGATCACTCGTGTGACCCTCTCCCAAACTTCACAAAATGCCTGAACCTATTGCACTGGCTGAACTTGTTGCTTATTGAGAACCATGGCCATCTTGTTGAACTAATTGGCTAATATGGAAACCTGCGCTGATAGTGCAGAAATAACATCTAATTCAAGGACCCCTACAGTTTTATGGAATGTGTGTCTGCCCGTTTCTCCTTGCTAGTCAGGATTACTTTTGGAGAATATGTTCAACAGTGCATAAATCTCATCAAAGCTTTTCTCCAACACTTGACCACCTGCTGCAACATCTACCATGATCTTAGTCTCTGGGTGTAAGCCCTCTATGAAGGTATGAGCCAACCCTTCATTAATTTGGTTATGATGAGGACAATCCCGAAGCAGCCCCTTGAACTTCTCCCAAGCTAAGTATATGGACTCGCCCTCCTTTTTGAAGGTGACTATCTCACTTCTGATCTTTGCATTTTTTTCTGAAGGGAAGAACCGTGCGAAATATTTTTGAGCCAGATCATTCCATAATGTAATTGAGTTAGCAGGTTCTTCCTTCAACCATCTCTTCGCCTCAGCCAACAAAGAGAAAGGACACAGTGTGAGCCTCACTTAGTCCGGAGTGACTCCATTAGTGATATAAGTATTACTGGTCTCCAAGAAGTTCAGAATGTGTTGTTGTGGATCCTTGTGCGGTAGACCCATGAATTGCCCATTTTCATGTAGCAGCTGGATCATGCTCTATTTCAGCTCAAAGTGCGCAATGATTCTGGGCTTCACGATGCTAGAGGTGACATTAGCAATGCTAGGCATCACCACCTCCCAGATCCCCATATGTTGCTCGTCTGCCATCTCCACAGGTAATTGAACAAATCCCTGAAAATTATATGTGTCCCTTGCTTCCCTCAACCTTCTGTGAAATGTTCTCTCAGGTTCGATGTCAAAGACTTGAAGTCTATCTTGACCGCTGACCCTTCGCATTCAAACAAAGTTCTTGAGAGCATAGCAACTAATAAGAAAGTATACGTGGTCAACAAGTAATATAATGATGAATAGAGTGTCGAACCCACATAGACTTGTATTAACTACCTACTAATTTCACTCAAATTGTTATCCAATCGAGTCAATCAAAGTTGAATTGTGTGATTATAATTAAGCAGTGAATGTAACAATTAATTAATTTAGCAAGCAGAAAATGGTTGTTGAGAATTCAGTAGAGATAAACATTTCAGGGTTGTGATCGATTCACCAATCCTATTGTATTCTAGCTAATTAACTCTCCTTTTTTATACAATTCGCTTATGGTTGCTAATTAATCGAGTAAGTATTCTCGTAGTATTCTCCCGAATTACTACTCGCCTATTCAAAATAGATTAACGCCTATATTCCTATGAAATCAATCTATCAAGAACACATTAAGATCACGATATTAAATTAAGCATGGTGATTAGGTATATTCCTATCCTAGCCACAAATCCGCCCCCAACTTTGAGTTAAGATCATGCCCTATTCGATTCTTCTCTAACCTAAATGTATCTTTCCCAAGCATAACTCAGATAGTTAATAGAGCTTGATCGCCGGCCAGACAATCAAGAAATTAAACACAGAATTGAAGAAACAACCATGTAGTAGCGAATTATAATTAAGAAAAAGTCAATTTCGAACAACAATATTTATGGCTAAATAACAACCCCAGAACTAATGAGTCTTAGCTACTCATGATAATGTTAAACAATTTCACAAGTGTTGAATTGTTGAAAATACTTAAAAAAAAAAAAAGTTTAGACTTCTTTTTATACGAGTTGGGGGCGTGTAGGGCAGAAAAACCTTGTCCCGAACTAAGTGGGAAAAGTTCCTGCCACCCAGTGTCCAGGGCAACGCGATGCACTGGCCCTGTGCTGGGCTGTGCACTAAAAAATTTCGCGTCTGGTTGTAGCACCCCAAGCAGCGCGACACACTGGCCTAGGCACTAGCCTGGGCGGTTTTCTTCGTTTGTTCTATTTTTGCTTCAATTCGTGCACTTTCGTCCCATATTGCGTCCGGGTGACTCCTACACATAAAAATACCATGAATTAGCATATATCATTACAGTACACGTACAATTTCCACAAAATATGAGTAAAATGCGAAGCGACATGCATATAAATACACTTACTTTAAGCCAAATATCATTCACTTATCTTCTAACGCATTAACAGAAATAGATCTTAAATATCTTTTCCCCCAATGATTTTTTAGAGGATAACTTTTTTCTTTTTGAAAATTAAATATAGTTAAATTATTACTAAAGATGTTCCAAACTATTACAAACCATTGGTGTGTCGCTTAGAATACATTAATTTCCCAAACTAGCAAGTATATTACAAACATTTTCTTCTAGATATTTAACAAAAAGAGGTCTTGCTCCTGATCATAAGCTAGCTGTTGCATTACAAAAAGTGGTGGCACAGCAAAAACAGTTTTTTTGCTTAACTTGGACTGGTTGTTTGCAAGCAGATGAGCAGCAACTTCCTTTACAATCAAATACTTCAAATAATATTGGTAGGGATGACAATGGGGCGGGGCGGGTTTAGGCCTATACGGTGCAGGGTGGGTTCAGGCTTATGCGAGGCGGGGTGGGTTGAAATGGAAAATTTTCAAATTCTAGCGGTTGCGGGTGGAAATCGATTTCTCCTGGTACGCGCTAAATACAAAACTGAAGTTGCATAATCTATTCTTTCTATTTACACTTAACTTTTATAAGGGTCTGCCACCTAACTGCTAAAACCAAAGGAAAACATGTTACAATATATTTAATATACTATTTATTTGATTCAACGACTGCAAATAGATGAAACAGAGTAATTTCTTATTGTTATTCCATGAACATTAGTATTATTTCTGAATTTTCAAACTAAATTCTTTATTTATTTAAGCAACCATAAAAATGTCCAATGTGAATCCAAAAGTATACATCTCGGAAATTAAAAGTACTCCTTCCATTTCACTTTGTATGACTTGATTTAGAGTACGATGGTCAAATTACCTAATTTCAGTATGAACTCAAATACAGCTTTGTATGACTTGATTTAGAGTATGAACTCAAACCAACTAACCGAATGTCATTTTACAACTTTTGCACTCATATTATGCACCACATCAAAACAAATTTATTTTCAAATGTAATAGAGAACTAGATAACAAATCAATCCCAATAACCAAAACTGCATTGTGAAAATTTGCAACAAGGTATAAAAGTCTAGTAAAATGGCCCCAGATTACAAAAGCCTGAAGGGCACAGCCAGCGGATGATGTCAAAATTCTGTGCAGTATTTCACAATATACCACTGTATCCATATATAATTACACTTACAATTAAATTCCCAAAAAATTTATAAAAAAACACACGCTTCACCTTAAAAATATATGGTTGTGTTCGTGCAATTTGACTTCAAACCTCAAGGTAGAGCAATAGTCACACTTCAACTGCTGAAACAGTATGCCTGAACTGTGTAAAGAAGAAAATGACCTGGTTCCTGTCATGAATTATAAGGATTAAAAGATATAGAAGATTATTCAGTATCAAGTTAAGAAAAAAGAAAGTGTTTGAACAGCATAAATACAGATGCTTGCTTACCTGGGTATGTGTATTGATCTTTAATTTTCGTCTAGGTGCTTCAAAATCCTTTCACAAAATTAGCCTTATAATAAGTCACAGGACAGAAGCTCTGCTACCAGTGAGCTCAAACACATTATCGTCTTTCATATTTTCTGGCAAGTTCTTTTAGAAGCAATCTCTGCCGAAAATCAAGATATTTGTCCAAGCTAGTCCCTGCCCACTGCTGACAAAAACATTCATCAGTTGGGACCAGTGAACTCAATGGAAAAGGTCCCTTTGGAGCCCTCTTTAGAGAAACCAAAAACCTATGGCGTGGCCTAATTCTCTGATCCAGCGACAAGCTTAGGTACGTTGGATATTTAGTCAATGATCGCACTTCATTGCCAAGTTCATTAACCAAGTACATGTACTTAGGTTTCAGATTCCCCTCAAGTGATAGAGAAAATACCTGCATGTACAGTCATTGTGAATATATGTCCACTATAATCTAACAAATCAAAAGACTGAGAAATCTTCCAGAATATTGAAGACTTCCATGCTAGCGCAGCTCTAATCATCTGAAATGTCACCCCCTTTTCTAATAGTACTATTTTTAACTAAAGCCTGTTATACTTGGAAATCTATTATGAAGGAGCAGAATATTATGCAAAATAGGAGATAGATGTAAAAACCGTGATTTCTAAAGCAGAATATTATGGCCGGAGCAGCATTTTCTAAATTGGTGAGACAACCCAACCATACTCACAGGTGAAGCAAAAACTACAGAAGGCAATAAATCTGACCTGCGTCATGCTAGTCAGTACTTTCACTATCTCTGAATTGCGCATTCCGATGCTCCTCAAAAAATTAATCCGGGGAAGCAATCCATCCTCAATGCTGTAGTGAAGTAATTGAGGATGCTTCCTAACCATTTTGACAATACTATCTCTGGGTGCACCCAATTCCCTAGTTAGAAAATTGTAGCGGGCTGTCCATGAAGTTTCAATCCGCTGCACCAAAATTTGAGGGCTTAGCTGCACAACTTTAGCGAGGTCATTCTTCTCGATACCGACCTCCTCAAGCAAGTATGTCACTGTGGGTTTTAATGAATTTTCCACACTATAGGAAAAAAGGGATGGAGTAGCAGTAATTATATGCCCTATTCTTGAGTCTGGGATTCCCAAACTAGCCAAAAATGTGACATGGGATTTCAGGTTGTTTTCCACAGTATACTCAAGAATCTGAGGCTGCCTCAAAATTATCTTCCTGATGTCTTTATGTTTGACGCCAACACTCAACAAGAACTCCAACCTTTCCTGTGCAGAACTTTTATTTATTTGAAGGGAAGGCATGTGCCTTTCGTACATCTGGATGAAGTGAGAGTCCTTAAATCCAAAGGTACCTAGGTAATCAAGAAGTGGAAACCATCTCTCATCCAGATCTAGTTCCTCTGCTAGATGACTAAATCTGTCCTTAGCCAAGCTCCCCTTTGCCTCCTACAATGCCACAAGACATGATTTCGCAGCTTATGGTTGAAGCAAAATTTAGAGCTTGACATGCTAACATTTAATACCTTTTCTCTGCAATCTGCATGCAAGAAATTTATGCTTAGTCAGTTTACTTGAAGCATTTTAGCGTACTCTAGGGAACTTTCATCATTTTTATTGCTCGACTTGCCTTGGGTAATCTCAGAAGTTTGCCTCTGGTGTCCCAACTTTGCACCTGATCCTCTTTCTGAATGGTGATGACCGGCTGCACCACACACATAGCATGTAATTTATGTTCCTTCCCAACCATTAAGATGAAAAAACTGGACACATACCTCGTCTGATGTGTGCTGCATTCTGAAACTTCTGGCGCTGCCTATTGTGGTCAGAAACTCTAACATCTCGAGATTCATCCTGGGTGATTAAGACACGGTAATAAAACAGGAAAAGCAGAAGCATCAAGTTTCCTCAAATGAAAGAAAAGCGGGAGGGGGAGGGGGAGGGGCAGGGGAAGGAGACTGTAGCATCAGTAACCAAGAATAAAACCCCCAAAAAACTCAACCAGGGTTGTCTAAACAGTGTTCTAATGTGAACAGATAAAATTAAGACATAATTTCTCAGTTTGTAACAAGCAAGCAATTTGAGGATACAAAATCCAAACAACCATCATTGTGAAATTGAAGATAAAGCAGGTAAAGTCTATGCTGCAATAGCATAAAAGTGTTATCTTTGTGCAAAAAGATACAACTAAATAACCAAAGTATGTGCTGCCCTCTGTTCCAATTCTTGTTTTTTTTTTTCATTCAGCAATTAATTTCTTTTAATCCAAGTGATTTAAAATTTATGCATTTAAAATTTATGCAAATATCATTCAGCAACAAGCTAGCTGTACCTCATAATAAATTGCAGAGTTATATTCCAGTTCCCCAAGAGATTTACCTGACTACTTTTGCTGTGCTAAGTTGAACTCACCCCGCAAGGTTTAGTTAATTTAACTATAGGATCCAATATTAAACAATTAATGTGTTATCTTTAAGGATAATTAATTTAATACCATAAACTAACATAAACAATAAAAATCTCACATAGTATATTCATTGGTTATGGTTAATATACATTTATTTTCCTATTTTTATCATAAACCTTGCTATGAATTTAAATTATAATCAACTTGCAATTGAAGTTCTCTACTACATTTTATTAAACACATGTATAAGCATACTATTAATTAGTTATAGAACCAATAGAAGTTTATGTAAAATAAAACACATGAGCATCTATTAGTTGTAAGTTCTGTATGCCAGCAATAAAGCCCTCTAAAATTCTTTGTTACTTCCTTTTATTTGGCTTACCAAGAGTTAGACAGATAATAAGACACCAAGTTAAAGACAGCAAATTGATAGGATTTTGCCAGGAAAAAGCTCACATCAGAAGTCAAAACGTCGTCGTTTTCCTCTTCTTCATTTTCAAAACTGTCAGCGTCGTCAGCATCGGAGTCAGAGTCATAAGGAGAAATTGGCTGGCCGAACCTAGACCTGCGATTGGGCTTGAGAATCTTCTGATTGGTATGCGAAGAGACAACGAAGATTCTGCTAAACCTGAAGAAACTTCTTCTGTTACGAATTAGGGCATTGAATAGCGAAGGTTCTGTACCGGGAAAACTGATTTTGAGGAAAATGGAAGTGTGAGCTGCCATATTATTGAAGATAGTGAAAACAAGTAAGTAGTATAAAAGGAATATACTCTAAAACCCTAAAATTAGGGGATTGGAAGTACATGAAATGTGTGTGGAGGGTACTGTGTACATCTTATCTTTAGAAAATGCACAAGAGAATGGTCCACGGAATATCATCTAATTGTTCACAGTCTTTACTCCTCGCAACTGTCCCCAGTGAGCAGTGACACTGACTTTTCCCGCTTCAATTTTTACTACACTTATTTTCCGTTGCTTTTGATTGGAAAGGGGAAATCAAGAGAAGATTTAACCAAAGGACCCATAAGTTTTGAATTAGGGAAATGACCTCTATTTTTTTTTTCTTTTATTTGTTTGTGTTTTTGAAAATTAAGAAAACGAAATGTCTAACCTTCAAGAAGTAGTGGCGAGGTTTTAACAAAAATGTGATACTCATCTTTTTAACCTGAACAGTTCATAATAGTATGAAGTCACCGAAAATATCCAAGAACAACATATATAACAACAATGTATACAAACCAGAGGTAGAATAAACATACTTCGTAAACAAGATAATCGAAACATAACTCATTCTCCATGTTCATATATAAAAATGATGTGCGCAAAGTAGCATCTATATGAATGCTTCTAAATGAATCTAGGACGATCATACATTGTTACGACCCAAAATCACCAAAGTTCGTGATGGCGCCTAACTCACTTTCTAGGCAAGCCAACACTAAAAAACAATAATAGAATTCAATTATTAAATTATTAACAGAGATATGATAAAGATATGAAAGCGGAACAAGTCTCAAAAAAGCATTATGATATACAAATATCCAAGACAGAGTCAAAACACGACCACACAACTATCTAACTAACGCCCAAAATCCAGTGTCATAATATCACAAGAATCTAATCAAAGTATATAGTCTCAACTGACAATAACATGTAACGACCTGACCGCTCGTTTTGAGTTTTAGCATGTCGTTCGGCGGTTTGAGCCCTTGAGTAGCTTTCCTTTATGTATTATGACTTGCGCGTATAGATGGTTTTGATTTTCGAGAAGTTCAGAGTTGATTTGGAAGAATAATTCTCAAATAGGAAGCCTTAATTTTGAAGAATTGACCAATATTTGACTTTTGAGTAAATGACCTCGGAATCGGGATTTGAAGGTTCCTATAGGTTCGTAAGGTAATTTAGGACTTGGACGTTTGTTCGGGTTGAGTATTGGATAGTCCGGAAGTGATTTGGTGCTTATTATCGGAAGTTTATATTTTAGAAGGTTTTAAATTAGCTAAGTTTGACTTAGAGTAGACTTTGGTATTATCAGACTCCGGGCGGTGTTCCGGGACCTTAGATAAGTTCATTTAGTTAATTGGAACTTGTGTGTGAAGTTTGGTCATAATCCGGAATGTCTAAAGTGTGATTCAGATGCGTTCGGCAAAGTTTCAATGTTTGAAAGTTAAGAGAAAATTTTGATCATCGATTCGTGATTTTGATGTTATTCGTGGCGTTTCGTGCCTTTGGAGAAGTTTACATATGGTATATAAACTTGTTAGAATGATTGAACGGAGTTCCTCGGATCTCGGGTGAGTTTTGGGGTAGTTTCGGACCACTTTAGGCCTTTTGAACTGCTGATAACTGATGTTAGGGGTGTGAGTCGCGATCCGGAGGTATGGACCGCGATGGCAAAGAGCAAAATGCATTCCAAGCCTTGAGAATCGCGATCGTGGAAGGTAGGGTCGCGATTGCGTAGAAGGAATTTCTACTAACAGTGGTTTGATTTCGGAAACTTATATCTTGCAATCTATAAGGAATTTGGAGATGATCCAAATATGAAAGTTGTAGATCTTTGAATCTAATTTTCAGAAAAATAAACTGTTTATCATTTGGAATTTTTTACAAAATGTTATAGCTATTATACATAAGGGTGTCTGTGAAGAGAAAAACAAAATTTGTACATCCCGATCATGGGAATTCTTGGCGCGATCGCGAAGAAGGAGGCATGTCAGGTGTATTAAACATTCGATTTTGGGATTTTAAATTTTTTTTTTTACTTTTAAGTGCTTGGAGCAAATGTAAGGAGATTTGGGGTGATTCTTAAAGACCATTTTCACCATATATTATAAGGTAAGTAATTCCTTCTTATTGTGAGTTAAATACATGAATTATATATGGATTTTAACATAAAAATTAGTAGAAATTATGGAAATTTGGAAGAAACCCTAAAAGTAGTATTTTTGGATTTTGACCATGAAATTGGATATGAAATTTAAAAAAAATTATGTATTTGAGTTCGTGGTGCTATGGGTAATGTTTATCTTCGAGAATTTTTAGTATCCGTTTATGTGAGCTCGGGGTTGACTTTGTTGACTTTCCGTGTAGAGTTGAGAATTGTTTTTAGTTGATTTAATTACGAGTCATTAAGTATATTTTGATTGGTTTGCACGTTCTTTGACTAGTTTCAGATCGTTTGGCATTGGTTTGAGGTGCTAGAGAGGCGTTGAAGGATCAAGGTTGCGGTTCAGATTAGAAAGAGATGTCACGAGCTCGGAGGAGTGGAGGGAAGATTTCAGATGTTCAGAGTATGCTGGCGCTATTGTTTTGTCACCTAAGAATGGTGTTCTGTGGAAGAGGAATTCTGTATTGATTTACAGATTCTTGATTTGCATTACATTTTAGTACGATTGGTAGCCATGGATGTGTAGATTTTGCTACCTGGTGCGGAAGGTTGTGGGAGTATCTCCCACGAGACGATTGTGTAAGTGTGACGTGTCAATCATTTAACTGGTAGAGATTGAAATCAGGTATGAAGATTCTGGTAGTGTCACTGATTGAAGGGTTTATGTCTGAGAAACACACTATTCCTGTTGTTGCAAACTGTGGAAGTTTGTTCCGAATTTGACGGTTGATCGTATGTGTCATGGATAGGGTCATTATGGATCTTTGGAGGTGATTGACCTATTTTAGTATGATCGGAATCGACTTTGAGGTCCGTGGGTAAACCTAATGTAAATTTATATTCTACACCAAATCAGATATACTTATTCAGCATAGCATTGCTTAAGGATGAGCCTTCGAGCATGGTGGATGTTATTCCTGCCCTCATCTATTTCATGTGTTACTCTTTTATGCCATGTTGGTTGTGAGGTGGCTTGATTATTCACACACGTGTTGTGATCCTGTGTAGCTTGTGGTTTTATATGAGCGAGATGACTCTCGAGATGCTGAATTATTTATTGCACCTTAGTCGTGCTTGGCCTTCGTAGTGCATGGTGCTATTCGTCTTCCCAAAGTTATGTTTATGCACTTGGCGTGCTTGTAGTTGATATGCGTGTCCAGTGAATATGAGCATTTTGGATCAATGAGTATTCTCTTATTGATTGTTATGTATGGATCGGGTGGCACGCTACCATGAGTATGATGTTTAAATTGGGTTGCGAGCCGTAATAGTATCACGTGTGGATCGGGTTGTGCGCCGCAACAGCATCACGTGTGGATCGGGTTGCACACCGCAACAGTGAGATGTTGGGTACGGTTCCTTATACTTATTTTGTGTGTTTAGTTTCTCATCTTTGAGATAGGTTCATAGTATTTGTTTGGCTATTTTATTCGTTACGCGGGCTGGATAGTTCGGTACTCGGGTTCGCTTTTCCTTAATGGTCATAGTCGAATTGTGGTTTGTTGGCACGTTGATGATGTCGTATGATATTTTAGACGGTTTTGATGTGGCTTGTCGACCGAGCAACTTGTACTGGGTGAGACAATGTTGTTGGACCTGAAATCAGCGCAAATGTATTTGTATAATGTATGTTGGAGGGAAAATGTCACTAAACGATTCAGAAAGCAGCAATAGTGCGGAGGAACTCCATGATTTATTGTTTTGATGGGATATTATGAGATTCTTCACATCTCTATCATCATTGCAGAATTGTGAGGTTGGAATAGGATTCTTATGGGTCATGGGTATATTACATGCATTAGGTCCGTAAATTTGCAACTATTGTGGTTGGAGGATGTTACAATGGGCAAATGAATTATGCGGTGCATTGTGCGACTACATCATGGGTGTATGATCATGTTTTGGTACATATTTGTTAGATTGATACGGTGTAACTATGCAAGAACTGGACCTTATAGGAATTTCGGATGTTGGAATTTGGTTCTAAGGCTTGTAGGCTAAGGAAGCAGGAATGATCTTCCATCTGGATTGAGCTAATGTGCTCATATGGATTATGATGGAACATATAGGTACCCGAGGAGTTATACAGTGGTTTTGGCAATTTTGGAACGGTTCTTGGCACGTTCAAGGATGAACGTATGTTTAAGTGGGGGAGAATGTAATGACCCGATCGGTCGTTTTGATCTCTAGCATGCCGTTAGATGGTTTAAGACCTTGAGTAGCTTCCCTTTATGTATTATGACTTGTGTGTGTAGTTGGTTTTGATATTTGAGAAGTTCGAGAAGTTCGAAGTTGATTTAGAAGAATAATTCTCAACTTAGAAGCCTTAAGTTGGAAGAATTGACCAATATTTGACTTTTGAGTAAACTCCCTCAGAATCAAAATTTGAAGGTTCCTATAGGCTCTTAAGGTGATTTAGGACTTGGGCGTATATTCGGGTTGAGTATCGGATGGCCTGGTAGTAATTTGGCGCTTATTATCGGAAGTTTGCATTTTAGAAGGTTTTGAATTAGCTAAGTTTGACTTAGAGTATACTTTGGGGTTATCGGACTCCGAGCGGTGTTCCGGGACCTTGGATAGGTTCATTTAGTTGATTGGAACTTGTGTGTGAAGTTTGGTCGCAATCTGGAATGTCTAAGTGTGATTCGGGCGCGTTCATGAAGTTTTAATATTTGAAAGTTAAGAGAAGATTTTGATCGTCGATTCGTGGCGTTTCAAGCCATTGGACAAGTTTACATAGGGTATATAAACATGTTAGAATAATTGGACGGAGTTCCTCAGATCTCGGGTGAGTTTTGGGGTGGTTTCAGACCACTTTTAGGCATTTTTGAAATGCTGATAGCTGATGTCAGGGGTGTGAATCGCGACTGTGGAAGTCTGGGTCACGATCGCGAAGAGCAAAATGCATTCCAGGCCTTGTGAATCGCGATCGCGGAAGGTAGGGTCGTGATCACGTAGAAAGAATTTCTGCTAT